CATATTCATACATTAATGATACATAGTAGTATAAAACAAATTGAGTAAATCAGCTGCGGAATGAATTTATATCATTCATTCATGGTTATGATTATGATGTTTATGTTTAAATGATGACTACATATAAGATAATAACTTATACTTATTTTTTCGTGTAAAATTCTTTTTTTGTGTTTGTATCATCAGGTCGTGTTAAAGGTTGATAATGATCGAATGAAGATCGAAAAAAGGAGTGAAGCATACCATAAACACGAATCATCACGCGTAAGCTATAACATAAAAGATGAAATGAAGAAAGAATGTGTATATGATATAGAACGAGGAAGAGCACGAAATGAAATGTATAAAACATCCAAAATATATATAAAGTGAGAGTAGTATGAATGCAAGCAGATGCATGAAAGAGAAAGAGAGTATATCATGTCCAGTGGACATGACAGTAATGATATAAAAAAAAACATTCTGCAATATGCATACATATCATAAAAAAATGAACTTTATTATTTTTAGTTTGTTCACTATCTAATTCTTTTACCGAGAAGCTAAGTAGGCGCCATTAAATCAATATTTTTGAACATCAATAATTTTCAATTGAAATGGCGTATGTTCCAAGTGCATTTTTTTATCTGAAGGCATATTCATTATAAATATTGATAATAATGTTTTCGCTTTCAATTTAAGAGTTCCAAAATAACTGTTAACGGAAAAAATGGAACCACTTGATTCTACTTTTATGTGAAGTTCCAAGATAAGAAAACAACTGATGAAAAAGAAAGTTTTTTTATTGACTCAAAACGAGTTGTTGGAAGGTCACTAGTCGAGCGTTATGAAAAATGTAAGATCATATCGTTTTCGCTTGAATAATCTAAGAAAATTTTCATTACAGATCGTGTAAAGTGCGCGTAATGCAAATTTTGAACAGAAAACAAATCTAGATGAATTAAACATCAATCGATAGAGCTTTTCGTGATGGTTCAGAATATATGTTTTTCAAGTTGATAGACGTTACCTAAGTCCAGAAAAATGCAAAACACAAAGATTTCTAGAAAACCTCAAAAAAGTGGTTTTTTAGTAGGAACTCCACGATTAATCAATTTCAACTTAGACTTTTTTCAGTAAATGTAGTTTATCTAAATCGAGCACATCAATTCTATGATTTTTCGCTAGGTTTACAAGATTCACTTTGGACTTTATGGAGGACCTTACTTTGTAAATATATCTCTTTTTCTTCTGTAAGAGCTAAAATAATATTTTTTTACCATTCGAATCGTTACATGAATGAGAAAAAGGTTAACTATGCTCAAGTTCCGAGTTCCTGACAAAATGCAAGTATCTGAAGATCTAGTATTTGAGAATAAACTTAATCTTATAGTTCAGTAAAGATCCGATCGAATTCGAAGTTAAAGCAGTTTTATAGGTAAAAATGAATGTAAAATTTAATGCGCACTATGTCAACTATGAATTGGATCTCTGAAGAGTCTTTAGAAAACCATTAGTCAAAAATCGGTTTTAACATCTTGAGTGTTGGTGTGGATTTAGAGAAGACACATACACCCACACCCTCAAGATGCATACTTATTATTGATGAATTCGCTTAAATTGTTCTGTTCAAAATAATTCATCGCGTTTTTATTTCTCGTTCTATATTCTATTTTGAACTTAAATCACGAAGAGAATGCATAATTATAGAAAATAATAGAATGGTCTGTAAGACGTATTAACATGACCAACATATCATTATCTTTTCTCAGTAGGAAAATCATCTATTACTGAGCATCTTTCAATTTCATCCAAAGAATTTAGCTAGATCTTGCCTTCTCCTAAATGATCATCTTGTATTTCTCAATATGAACGCCTTTTTTTCAGTGTCTGCCAATATAAATCGATCTCTATAATACAAACATCGACATATGATGCCACCTCTCTATGAAATAAGATTTCGTATCTGATTAATTCGTTATTATTGAATATGAATATAGAAATTCATTTTGAGCTCAAGCTAGGAAGGAGAAATAAACTACTGTGGAATAAGTACATTCTTTCTGCATTAATCAGTGTGATTCACATACACATATCAGAGAGGATGGGTACGCGGTGTACTATTCTGCAACTGTACTCTATTGTCATTGGTTTCGACAATGTTCCTATACGAGAGGCTATATTATATATTTTCAGTCGAAAATAGATGGCCAGTTTTATTTTGTATGTCATAGCCGACGTCAGTTTTGTTCATAGATTTATTATTACAAAACATATTATATATTCTTTGTAGATATTTAATAATTTAACTGTTACTTCATATTTATACAAATGGGTATAGAAACTCGTTTAGAAAATTTACCAAACGAGATCTTGTTCGAAACATTTGGCTATTTGCATGCACTTGATATGTTTAGTGCATTTGGTTCATTGAATAAACGAATTTCGTCGATTTTCCAATCAACTCCACTTTATATTATTATTTCAAAAATTCATTGTCGTAATCAAGTTGATTTTCTTTCTTCTTATCTTACTTTTCATGTTCATCAAGTTATTTCAGTAAAAATCGATGATACAATTCGTGATGATACATCTATTATTAATTTATTATTCAATCGACATGATTTTATTAATCTTCAATTTTGTAAATTTATAAGAATTCATCAATCAACAAAACTTGGCAATTTTATTCAACAACTAAAAACTTTTGATAAACTTGTTTCATTTAATATAATTAATCTAAATGATATAACTATGAATGAAAATGATAAATATGAATTAGTTCGAATTATGTTGATGCATCAACCATCTTCTCTTCGCTCAATTGTTCTGCAATATCCTTATAATTATTGGAATATTTTAAATACTATTTCATTATCTTCAAACATCACATCATTGTATTTATATATAAATGGTTCATCATTATTCGCTTCTGTAAATTCAGTTTTGGTAATTCTTCGTCGTTGCTATAGCGTACGCTATTTAGGCCTAATCGTGAAAGATAACACTCCGGCTAACAATAATTATTTCTAGTAAGTTGTCAAATAAAAAATGTATTAGTTGAAAAAGTGTACGAAAAAGAAAAGGTCTTAATTCAAATTAAAATCTTTTTGTTTTATTTTATTTTAGTAATCCAATTCAGATACCATTTATCAACGAAAATTATCTTCCTGTATTATCACATGTCATCTCGTTTCAATTCATACTTTATGTTGTATGCAATAACGCTTTCATTCGTTATTTATTACGTTGTATGCCTAATCTTAAGTCTTTCATTTTTATATTTAAGCCATATAAATCAAAATATTTCTTTCCTATGGATTTACTCGACGGTTATGCATGGCAAGAAATGTTAGAACTTTATGTTCCATATTTATCAAAATTTGAGTTTCATATGTCAATTTGGAAATATTGTCCACGAACCGATTTGAATATTATTGTTAATTCATTTAAATATTTTGTTACGAAATATTCGAATTGGCATATGATTATTGATCAATGGAGTTTACTGCATTCAATTCCAGGTAAATAAAATTATTTAAAAAGTTCTGAAAGAGAATAAAATGAATAAGAAGATATAGAGTATAGCAAAATGTCACTTAGTAACTGATGAGAGAATCTCGTGAGGTGTTAAAAAACTTTTAAAAATGATTAAAATAATATTTTTATAGTAATATATATATTCAAAATTTTGATTTTTTTCATGTTTTAGTTGAATTTATTATGCTTCGTACATTGAATTATCACAAACACAAATCCAATGTATATACAAATATGCCTTTAATTCCTAGTGGAAGCTTTAACACACAATCAACAATGAAAAATATAGATGATCATTATCTTTTTTATAAGAATGAAAAAGATTTAAGACTATACATAACATCTGAAAGACCAGATATTAC